AATGAGAGAAAGTGTTGCGTCAAAGTAAATCATAGAGTAAATTCGAGACAGTGTAATTATAACTTTTGGAACGAGAATGGCTATAGGATAAAAAAACTAAGCGTTAAGATATTTATTAAAGCAATAAGTGAGACGAGCTTGTAACGAAAATCGACTGTCACGATCTTTCATAACGTCTGCTTTTCCCTGTATATATTTTAGCGATTGCTGGAGAAACAGCAATGGGTTGATTGACAGATTAACGGGTTATTCTTCTTCATGTCCTGAATTGCTTTAGCTTTCGAAATGTTCTAAATCTGTGTTAGAATATACATGCGAAAGACGAGTCGCAAGATATCGGGAGAAGCCTATGGAGTTATTTCGGCGAGGAGCATGTCTTCGTGGGATGTCGATCGCTGCGGATCGATTCGATGGTGGCGTTCGATGATCGCGCAAACGATCGAGCACGTGGTTTGGCGCGATCGCGCGTTCCCAGAGAAATCCTCTCGCGTGTGCGCGCGCGCGCACGCGCGAGATCTCTGCTCGCGAGCGTAAGGTGAACGCACTGACTTGCGACGCGGATGGAACGCGGAACCGAGCGGGCGATGTGCGAGACAAATGATCGTCTGCGAGACCGCGAAATTCGTCGCCGCGCCGGCAAAATTCGTCCAATTTAAAGAGGACAAAATTACTTCTTCCCAATCGACTTGAATGAATCAATTTTTTTCTTGCGACACACACACATAAGTCTTTACAAAAAAAAAGTTTTGTACTATTAATGAAAGAACAGTGTCTTTTGTACGAGACGTTCAATCGGGAATTTTTAGTCAATAAATAATATTTCTTATAATAGAAATCTTTGAATAATTTTTTCTTGAAACGAAATTGAATGCCTGCATTTCTCAATTTCTTCCAATTTATCCATTCTTCTATTCAGATATTTCAAGAACTTTTTTTAAATTTATATATCCGATATACAAGAAAAAACAATAAATAAGAATTATAAATTTTATATATTATATTACTTGATATTTTTAGATAATACTTGATATTTTTAGATTAAAAAATTATTTGACAAGAAAACAAGCGTAAAGAAGAAATTATTTAGCAGCTTTAGATTTTATGTTTAATTTTCAAATTTTAATCTGAAAATCGATCCAAATATTTTACGTAAAACATGACCTCGTAAAAAATTGATCGTCGCGACATCGGAGGACAGTTATGTTATCGTTTCGAAAGCTTTTAATAAAAACGCTTATTTTTTCGGCTATTCTGCCATGGATATTGACAATTTTTTCAACAATCGGAAAATTCTTGACACATTACAAAAATATAAAAAATTCGATTTTTCAATTGAAATAATCTTCACGCCATTTATGATTAAAGGAGATTGATTATATAGCAACAATAAACTAATTTCGAAAGAAATTCACAATTACCTGAAAACATACACGATACAGCTATTAGAAACACGCTAATTCGCAATTCGCGTGTCACAAGTACATAATAGGTTCACTGGGAAGCTATCATGGAAAGGTTTTCATCGAAATTATTTTAGTCCTCATCAATTCTCTTATTACAGATAATCAGCATTTGAAACAACATATAAATAATTATAATTAACGACAAGCCTCTTGATTTTGCGAATTGAAAACGCTTATATATTTACATCGTATTAATTGGTGTTTCGATCGTTGCGGACTGTGTATTGGTTGATGAATATCTAGCTGCGCGTGAATTGTCACAAAACACTTGAAATTCGCGAGGCGGAAAAACAAAGCTGGCCAAGGAAGGATGGAAGGGAGGAATGAATGTTGCGGGAGGGAAGAAAAGATGAGTTAGCGAGAGGTGGAGGAGAGGATTCGAAGCAAAACGTGCAGATGAGAGAGTGAGAGCGGGGGGAGAGAGAGAGAGAGAGAGAGAGAGAGAGAGAGAGAGAGAGAGAGAGAGAGAGAGAGAGAGAGACGACAAAGAGAATGACGAAGATGAAGAGGGGTGGATGTTAACGGAGGAAGGGGGGAGGAAGGTTGTGACCAAGAAAAGGAAGGAGGGACGAGCCAGGAAGAAGTCAACGTCCGAAGATTACGGCAATGACATTCACTTTTTCTCACTCTCTGCCTCGTGTTTCTCCCGTGCTCTCCGAGTTTTTTTTCTCTCCTCTCCGCCCTCTCCTTGTTTCTCCCGCGATTCACCGGCGATTCCCTGTCCTCATCTCTTTCGATCGTGCGAAAATACTGGAATATATAGGGTGAAATAACTTGGGAAATTACTTAAAGTTTTTTGATATAATTGGGTGTAGTGGAAAGTTTTGAAACTCGTCATCCTTCTTACGCAAAAATTAGTACAAAACTTTACGTAAAGACGCATAATTTCATTGGTTGATCACACCGCATGATGCAGTAATGAATGTTTTTTACATGATTCTTTTTTGAATTTGAATGTCAACTAAATTTCCTTTTCTAATATCGTATCGAAAATAAAAAGATAGAAGAAGAATTAATTACTGTTAATATTACATTATTATGAAAATTATTTTCCTGCAAACTATTAGGGATGATTAAGGACAAAATTTTTTCTTATTTGTTGAGATTTCTTGGAACAAAGGAGCTATTATTATAATTGAAAGCTGAATGGCAACTCCCAATTTTTTTCGAAATAAACTTTATGTACTTTCTTAGAAATTAATTTTCTTATCATCGTCTTACATATAAAAATATTAAGTTGAGATGATCGAAAAATGAATATTTTATGAAATACTTCATATTTTATCCTGACACATTTTAACATAAAGATACTATGCTTTTCTAATATTTGTCTCATAAAATCTCATAAAATATTCACTTTCTTTTTATTAATTTAATTTCTTTTAATATTTTTATGCATAGACTAAAATTGTCAAGAAACTGCTAGATAACTATTTATATGATAAGAAATAAAATATTTAACTCTCTCTCTCTGTGAAATTTAAGAAATTTTCATTTCTGTGGATTGAAAAATTGTCTCAACTTTTTCATTTTTATTTTTATCATTTCAAGTATATTAACTTGAAAGGACTGCTTCCTTAGAGAAATATATAATTTTAAAAATGAAATTTCCGCATTCTTAAGTTAGTTTAAATTTAAATTATTATTGAACTTTCTATTCTTACTTTTTGAATTTTCGCATATTTAAATACGAAAATTCGATTGTGTATCTTCTACAATAAATGATTAATTAAGTGGATTAATTAAGTGGATCAATTAATTAAATATTTATTCAGAGATGAAAAATTTTATTTTATGTTGCAAATTGAAATGAAAAATGAACTTTCATGTTTCAATATTTCTCAATAATTTATAATGCCCGCGTACTTTTCACAAATCTATGAATTATAAATCGTGCGACTGCATTTATGTATGTGCCTTTATTATTTTACAATTGTATTTTTTTCTTTCCGCGTCGTGTATATCGTTGTTTTGCCTTTGATTTCTGATTTTCTTTTTGTTTTGATTTATCTTTCAGCGAGATGGCTCACGTGAAAAGCCAATGGACGTGTAAACCATTAAAAATTGGCGGGCAAATCCGCGCTCGCGCTACTAGGAAAAAGTTCGCCTTATAAGAAAAGTAAGAGAAAGAAGAAAGAAACAAAAAGAGAGAAATAAAGAGAAAAAAATAGCCACAAGAGCAATAAAGACGTATCAGGCGTTCGGTCGATTGCGTATCCCAAGAATAATGGGTTGAACTTTCAAGTGGCATTTTCCATTCGTAAGAAGCTAAAATGGAAGTACAGCGAGACGATGAGCTGCTTCAACTTTCACGTCGATTACGTTCTTAACGAATGGTAGTCGGAAATTATGCGTTAATTGCAATCAGAAGACGAAGAAATCAGTGTTAAGTGACAAAGTGCGAAATCCAGCAACAAAGCGATAAAGTATCAAACTTCCGTAAACGCGGCAGTGTTGTCCTTTTAAAAATTATCCCTCATCAAAACCGACCGCGCCCGCATTCTCTGTTCATTCGATTCGTATCGAGTGTCTCGTCGATCTTCATTGTCCGCACATCCCATCCGTTATTTATACATTCGCGAGGAAATCTCGGGAGCATAATCTTCCACTCGCAACTTTTATCGCGCTCGTCGTATCGCATTCGTCGCGCGATCATTACGGCCGTGGTCGAATTAAATCTTATTAAGCAGCAGTGTAAATGCAAATACAAGAAACGCGAAGCCGGGGAAGAGTGGCCGCGAGATAGACGGAGAGAGGCGTAATACCTGCGAGGAAACGAGGAAACGTTACTTGTGGTTCAAGGACCCCGCGAAGTTACGAGAAAGACGAGCAGCGACAACGACGACAACGACAACAACTGCAAACTCGAGCGGGAAGACATGTTCGTTATGCTCGCCAAAATCGATCATTAACATTAAAATAGTTTGTTAAAAAGAAAAAAAGAAGATATCATTTCTCAGAAGACGCCTGAATGCTGGATGAAATGCTGGATAAATTATCGAGATACAGGATATCCTTTCGCAATAAAACCGTTTCACTAATGACGCTCGACGTGTCCTGCGAGTTATGCCGGTTTAACTTACGCGACGCGTCGACGGAGGCATCACTCTTCAATAGGAACGCCTTATATATGATATATAAAAGATGTTATCTACCGATTGAAATAGCGTTCCACCGGTTTGTGTATAAGTAACGAAGGGGAAAGTTTAACCGAACGAAGTTAGAACAAGTTTCGAACGAAGTATCAAGTCTCGAATAATTAAACGATAGCCACTTTATTATCATCAAGAAAATTCGACTGATACATAACTTTGTTATCGAAAAGCTTTGATTGATGGATGTTTGAAGATTCAAGGAAAGTGACGACGTTTTCTTCAAATTTTCTGTCACTGCAAGGATCGAAGAGAGAGACAAGAATCGGTGGATAGGATAATCGTGACTAAAATTCAACGTCGTTCAATTCTCGAGAAGTGGCGATTTTCAAAGATTCGCGAGAGGAGAGTAACTCTCGTGACGGAGAGTTTCTCTTGTTCTCTTCGCGAAAGCTGCGAAAGTGCCTGTCCGTGGATCGAGTCGAGACTTACCGCCGCAGGACCGTCGTCGAGAGGTCGAGATAAGGATCGAGAAGGCGCGCGCGAATGCTGAATGCCGCAGACGGTAGCATCGGCAGGAAGCGCGACGTGCACCACGCTGTTCGCCGTCGGCGTCGCCGACGCCGTGATCGCTCGTACGTACGTTCGATGCCCGTACAATGGACGTTTTCAAACTCGATCAGTCGCTGAGCGCGGGTTTGGGCAGCGCGCCGGCGCCGGACACCCTCACGCCGGAAGTGTCATTCGACGCCGGCAGTGAGTTCAACTTGAGCTTCTTCGACGGCCCGGAGGAGAACAACAGCACCCAGGGCTTTAGCGACCCTGGTTCCGTCGGTAGCGCCAGCGCCTCGCCGCCCCCCGGTACACCCGGTGGCGCTGTACCCCCCATTGCCGCCGCGACCGTCGCTGCCGCCGCCGCCGCCGTCGCCGCCGCCACCGTCGCAGCCTCCGCCTCCACTGGAGGCGTTAATAATCCGAACGCGCCTCCGCTGCCGATTGTCCAAGTGCCCACCACTGGCATCGTCATTAAGCAAGGTTTGTTTCATTTTTTTCTTATGTATCGCGCTTCCGATTTTTCATTTCCGCCTCGTTTGATTTCGATTCCGTTTTCGATAAATTATAAATTTGATTTCTGTCGACGTTAGTACGACGATCATGAGATTGTAGATATTGCAATATACATTTATGTAATGCTATACGAAACAGTATAATTATTATGAAATCTCGAATAGGCTTCTTAATACAATTGAGATATTACGTTAGGTTTTTGCAAAATAATTTGTCTACTATCTGAGAACTGTCTGTTGAAAAAAGAATAGTCAACATGAACTATTATATTAGGTGTAGTAAAAGAAATCCATTATTTTTCCATTCAATTTCATGCAAAAATGGATTTTTTTTTATTACACCTAATATATACGATTTTATTTTATTTTAAAGAGATAATTAACAAGGAGAATGAAAATAGACTTTTTCAACAAAAAATACAAAAGTTATATCATGCGAATATTATTTTGTATTATTTTATATAAATATTTTTATATAAATA